ACTCTAGAAAAACAAGACCAACTATAAAGAATAAAAATAGATCTAAAGAGGACCTACAACACTAAGCTGAAACAATATTCAGCAATCACATCTCCCAATTTCCCATAATGTACAAGTGACCATAAAAGCCAACTTTGCCATCTAGCCAAATACTTGAACGCATGCCAAAGTTCATATTCACAAGTCACCAACCAAAACAAAGAAAAAATAATGAAAGATAAAAGATAAAGAGAAATTTCAGGAGATGTCTCTAGTTAAAGATCAACATGATATTCTATTAAGCACAATATAGGTTATGTAGGGTATGACTGCAGGGAAAGGCAGGAAAGAGAGTAAGAGCTACCTAAAATGCAAGCACTTCTAAGACGTTGCATCCGTAACAGCAACTGCACTCATTGGACACTCCCCAACAAGTGTCAAGAACATGTCACTGTTTTTTCAATATTTAGAACAAAGTAGGTGTTTGGAATGTTCTAAATAAGTGCACTTTTTGACTTTTTGATTAAAAAAGTAGAGAAAAAAAAGATGTATATTTGGAATAACTTTTTGGCTTTTTACAAAAAGATGTATACTAAAATATTGTAGTAAAACCGAAATGACCATTCTACCCTTGTTGATTTTTTGACTTTTGACTTTTTGACTTTTGGGTTGTTAAATGCAAAGGGCAAAATAATAATTTTGCCCTATAGCTTCCCCCACAAGCTTCCAAAATAATAATTTAAAACCTCTAGGCTTCCCCCACAAGCTTTTTCCAATTAGTGTGGACTTTTTGGCTTTTGTAGTAACTTTTTGGCTTTTTAACTTTTTTAGTTTATGTCAAACCAAGCCCTAAATATGTTTCAAACACTTGGAGAACACACATGTCCATCATTTAGCACAACAAAGGTTATGTAGGGTATGACTGGCAGGCAAAGGCAAGAAAGAGAGTAAGATCTACCTAAAATGCAAACACTTCTAAGACGTTGCATCCATAAGAGCAATTGCACTCATTGGACACTCCCCAACAAGTGTCAAGCATCCATCTAAACACGTCAGTGTTTTTTCCAATATTTAGAACTAAACACGTTTCAAACACTTGGAAAACACGCATGTCCATCATTTAGACACATAAACAATATGGCTTAACAAGATCCATGAATTAAAAAAGCAAATTTTAATTTAATCTATAGACAGACCAATGCAAACTTACGTGATGTCTGATAGCCGACATTTATGGGGACTAAGCTTTTCAGTGACACCATCAATTGTCATAGAAGGTTCACCAATCCAAACATCTTTATACCTGTATAATGAAAGAAAATTGGAGAGGAGAAAAGAAGACGAAATAAAAATGACAACCAAAAAAACTCCATCAATCATCTCAATGAAAGTGAAAGCATAAGAACAATTTTAAACTTTAAAACCAGTTTTATTGTGTTTTTCTAAAGGGACTAATGAAGGAAATACATAAATAAATATGAATGAAGTTCAAAACTGTGGTGATCAACAATTCAACAATACTAAAATAGTTTGATGACTCCATTTTCTTTGTTAAGCAAAGATTGGTCCCACTATGAATGATGGGTTTGAATCTCAAAATGTTGTGGATAGATACAGTGAAACAATTCGAATTCCACAAACATCAACCATGCCACGAACAGACAAGGAAATTTTACCTGAGGTAGATAGTTGGGTCGACCCTGGATGTGATGAGATCATTAGCACGGACAATCTTTTTTATTTCAGTCCTAACAAAATAATTAAAAGAGTCCAGGTGTTGCTTCACCAACCCTCTCACCTACAGCCCCAAGCAAAACAAAGCATCCATGAATGGCCATTCTCTATACTCTATAGGCTCATAAAGCATCATATAAGTTGTATAAATTAAGATGACCTTCAGTCCATTTCAGTCAGAAATAAATAGAAAAACAAATAAGTATTTATTATTTAGGTTAAGAATAGAAAATCCACTTTTCCTCATCTTTTGGCAGATGAACCATATGTGCAAAGTGATACTATACAAACAACGACTGCCACAAAATTATACCAAATGACAGGGCCATTAGTTTTCTCCTTCAGTTCTTACATGCCACTAATTCAAGAGCACATCCGCTGCATTCCGCAAATCTTCACTAAAGATATCAATTTTCATAATCAAAATTACCTTCAAGAACTCGGGAAGGAGCTGGAATTTGTCAACCGCAGACTTAACCGGAGCAGCCAAGAATTGCTTGTCAACATCTGACCTGAGCTCCAAAACACAAGAATAGGAATAGACTTTCAAAAACAACTTAACCAATACACAACCAGCCAAATTTAACAATTGAAAACCAAACCAAACTAAACCTTGTATCCCACTCAAGTAGGGTCAACTACATAAATCATTTTTCACCATTCTACTCTGTCCAATGCTGTGAGCTCAATTAAATTAAATAAATTCACATTCTTTATACTACCGCATTTCATATTAGTTTAGGTCTTCCAATTATAATGCTCATATCATTTTTCCTTACCATTACATCTATATAAGTCTTTGTTGTATGTAACCAAACCAACTTAGTACATGTTTTCTCTCAAATTATTTTCGATTGGTACTACCCGAATATATTTATTTTTATCTTTCCTAATATTACCACAAATCCATCTAAACATTCTCGTCTCAGTGCTCTCAAAACAATTGAAAAGCAGGGTGAATATCTATGGGGATAATCATATTATGTATTAATAGAATTAAATGTAGAATGGTTCGAAGCGGGTTTGTTAATCGAGCAAGCATTGTCAAGAGAGATGCAATCTTCTGCCATTATCAAGAACCTATGTGTATGTCAAGAGACTGTCTAAGATAAAAACGTTTGTCTAAAATCATATTTAAAAAATAAATAAATAAATAATCCTAAAACCCTACACCCAAAAACTGAGAATCGTGAAAGAAAGAATGAGAAGAAGAACATACTCTAGTGGGACAGCGTAATCTTCCTTGGGTCCCATAACGATCAACAAAAACAATCACTCACTTTGGCTCTCTTTGCCCTGTTATTCTATTCAGACTGTAGAAGAAGGCGGCGAGTAGAGAGGGAGAGATGAAGGCGGCGAGTAGAGTAGAGAGAGAGAGAGTACCGACTCATTGGGGATGCAAGTTCTACACCAAGCACCTTGCAAGCACATTAGTTTGTGAGCGGCAAGGCAGGCAGGGTAGATCCTTATCGCATCTCCTAGGTTGGTCCTTGGGTATAATGCACGGGGGTACGCAGTACCACTCATGGAGCCGGCTTCTCGGGAGGATGACAAGTGCCCAGTCCGTAACAAGTGGTATCAGAGCCAGCCTAGGGGCACTGTGATGGGGACGGTACGTGGGACTTACACCAAGCACCTTCATTGTGGGGTCCGCACCAAGGGTGGTGTCCGCACGGGGCGGGTTTCCCGTGGGTAGGGGAACGGACAAGCATGGATGCAGGCAAGGTAATGTCCCCCTGACGAGGGCGTCAGGGACTGGCGGTGGTAGCATGTCACGTACCGACTCATTGGGGATGCGAGTTCTACACCAAGCACCTTGCAAGCGCATTAGTTTGTGAGCGGCAAGGCAGGCAGGGTAGATCCCTATCGCATCTCCTGGGTTGGTCCTTGGGCATAATGCACGGGGGTACGCAATACCACTCGTGGAGCCGGCTTCTCAGGAGGATGACAAGCGCCCAGTCCATGACAAGTGCTCTCTCTCTCCACTCTACTCGCCGCCTTCATCTCTCCCTCTCTACTCGTCGCCTTCTTCTACAGTCTGAATAGAATAACAGGACAAAGAGAGCCAACGTGAGTGATTGTTTTTGTTGATCGTTATGGGACCCAAGGAAGATTACGCTGTCCCACTAGAGTATGTTCTTCTTCTCATTCTTTCTTTCACGATTCTCAGTTTTTGGGTATAGGGTTTTAGGATTATTTATTTATTTTTTAAATATGATTTTAGACAAACGTTTTTATCTTAGACAATCTCTTGACATACACATATACAGTTTCTTGATAATGGCAGAAGATTGCATCTCTCTTGACAATGCTTGCTTGATTAACAAACCCGCTTCGAACCATTCTACATTTCATTCTATTAATACATAATATGATTATCCCCATAGATATTCACCCTAGGAATGGCAACAGGGCGGGGCGGGGCCGGGGATCACCCTCCCCGTCCCCGATCCCCGATGGTGGAAATCCCCCTCGTCCCCGTCCCCATCCCCGACGGGGAACCCACTACCACCCCCACCCCTGCCCCCTAACAGGGATCGGGTTTCCCCGACCCCGAAAAACCCCGGCCAAAAAAAAAATAGATATAAAACAGATTGTGTAAATCAACAACCAACAACGTTAAGAGAGAGAGATCTGTTTCATCACATAACAGATTTGCACCAAATGTAAATAAATTAGAATACACAGATTTGCTCAAATATCTAACAGAATTTGTTCATCACCATTAACAGATCTCAAAAAAAAAAAAAAAAAATCAGATCTAACATATATACCATTAACAGATCTGATGAGCTCAAAAAAACTAAAATAAATTCATATCTAACATATATATATACAACAAATCTAATATATATATATAAAATCGATCGAGAGAGAGAAAGAGAGGAAAAATGCTCAAACAGTGATAATGGTGTCATTGCCGGACTGCCGCAAACAGTGGTGGAGTTGTGGTGGCTCAATCGGCGGAGGAGGGAGATCGGCGGAGGACTGAGATCGGCGGAGGAGTGAAGAGATAAGAGAGAGGAGACAGTTTCAACTTTAGGAGAGAATTTGAAACGAGGGTGAGAGAGAATGAGAATGAGAGAGAGAGAGAGAGAGCACTGATATAGATTAGAATGATAGATATAATATTAATATAACTTAAAGACATAGATAGATATAATATTAATATAACCAAATATAATATTCATATAACCTAAACACATATTAGGGGTGTTCACGGATCGGATTTGTACGGTTTGCGGTTGGGTTTTGACCCACCCGCACCTATGCGGTTTGGAGAAAAGTCAAACCGCAACCGCCCGCAGTGCGGTTTGCGGTTTGTGCGGGTAGGGTTTGCGAATGTGCGGGCGGTTGCAGGCGGTTTGTGGTTTGAATTTTTTCCTTCAAAGAGAGAGTCTTTACCTGCGAGTTGATGATCCTAGGCTGATGTTTCACTGTCTTGGATTGAAGTTGGTCAAGGAAATACTTTTAAAAAATTAGAAAAATAAAAATAAATGCGCACACACACAAAATCAGTTTCATAATCTCTTTGTGGAAATTAGAGAGAATAAGTGGAAAGGAAATTTTGCATTATAGGTTCTATTTAGTTATGTTCTGTTAAAATACTTAGCTATATAAAAGATTACCATTAGAGTTATTTGAGAGAGGATTGAGGTTTTCTAAGGTCTTCAATAATGAGGAAATCTTAAATTCGAATTTTCAATTTCTTTTCCCAATCTGTTTTCTGAAATCAAACAAAGCAAGGGAACAAATCAAATTCCCTCAGGCTTTCCACCAAATAATAGATAAGGAAAAAGTAAACACATTTACAAACAAATTGGACTCAAATTGTAGGCAAAAGCAAAATCTAAAGATAATAAACAAAAGAAAATAAAGGCCAAAATTTTTTTTTTTTCATTTATTTCTATATTTATTTTTAGTTGGTTTCGAATAACAAGCATGCGCCATCATTTTCAGGAAACTAATAAAAATGACATTACTTCTTCAGCACCCTTTTACTGACCAATCAAATAACATCTCCCAAACTTATCCATGGTCTGTTTGGTTACCCAGAAACCACAAGAAAAGAAGCAAATACACTAACCAGTATCAGAGGATTCATGTTTTTACAGTGT